GCATCTAAAGAGCTGCTTACTATCAACACTCATCGCGGTTTGTTTCAGTATAACCGTCTACCTTTTGGAGTTAAGACTGCGCCATCTATCTTCCAACAACTAATGGATACAATCCTGTCAGATATCTCAGGGGTTGCAGCTTATCTCGATGATATCTTGATTGTTGCGAAGACGTTAGAACAGCTACGGGAACGCACGACATTGGTACTACAACGCATCAGTGACAATGGTTTCCGGTTACGCCCAGAAAAATGCCAGTTTCTATTGCAGTCGGTAAAGTATTTGGGATTCATCTTTGATGCCGACGGTCGCAGACCGGATCCTGAAAACATCCGAGCTATCAAACTGATGCCCACTCCCACTAATGTTTCCGAATTACGATCTTTTCTCGGTTTAATCAGTTATTATTCAGCTTTTGTTCCCTCGATGCATGATATTCGCGCTCCATTGAATTGTCTACTGCAGAAGCATAGCACATGGAACTGGACTAAAGAGTGTGACGCGGCTTTCGGTAAACTCAAGTCTATAATTAGCTCGGAATTGTTATTAACACACTACGATCCATCCATGCCGATCATCGTAGCAGCAGACGCTTCAGCATATGGCCTAGGTGCTGTTATTTCACATCAATTTCCAGACGCGTCGGAAAAAGCCGTTATGCATGCATCCCGTACACTGACCCCAGCAGAAAAGAAGTATAGCCAGATAGAGAAAGAAGCTCTTGCCCTTGTGTTTGCTGTTCGCCGTTTCCATAAGTTTCTGTACGGTCGGAGATTCACGCTCTTCACAGATCACAAGCCTCTGTTAGCAATATTTGGTTCAAAGTCTGGCATTCCCGCCCATTCTGCAAATCGTCTTCAGCGATGGGCCTTGGTACTTTTGGGGTATGATTTCGAAATCCAATATCGACGTACTCTACAATTCGGTCAAGCAGACGCTTTGTCACGACTCATTAATGATCAAGTGGCGGCTGAGGAAAACATGGTGATCGCATCTCTGTCAGTAGAAGACCACGCAGAATGTTATCTGACAACCGCAGTTCGCGCATTACCGGTGTCTGCAACAGACATACAAAATGCTTCTAGAAACGACCCCATCATCAAGATGACGATGAAATATGTCACTAACGGTTGGCCGTCGAAAAAGTTTGAAGGTGACATCAAGCAACTGTATCAGCGGCGGGAGTCACTATGCATCGTGAACGATTGTCTGATGTTTGGTGAAAGAGTAGTGGTCCCAGCATCCCTTCGTGCAAAAGTTCTGAAACAGTTCCATCTTGGTCATCCTGGGATTAAACGAATGAAGTCCATAGCCAGGAGTTATGCATACTGGCCTCACATGGATCAACATGTCACAGCGTTGGTTGAAAAATGCATCCGGTGTCAGCAGGCGGCAAAGATGAATGCCGAAATTCCGCCGGTTTCATGGCCCAAACTTGAGCATCCTTGGTCCAGGATACATGTCGACTTCGCTGGCCCAATAAATGGAACTATGTATTTGATTGTCGTCGACGCCTTTTCTAAATGGCCGGAAATCAGCCCCGTTATGCCGCCCACTACAACTAAGACTATACAGCTCCTTTTCGAAATTTTCTCACGAAACAGCATACCAGATGTGATCGTATCCGACAATGGCTCTCAATTCACCTCTTCCCAATTCCAGAATTTCTGTCAACGGCTAGCTATTAAACACTTACGCTCACCACCATACCACCCGCAATCGAATGGGCAGGCGGAAAGGTTTGTGGATACGTTTAAAAGAACACTGCTTAAGTCAAAAGGGGAGGGGACGCCAACCGAAGCATTACAAAATTTCTTGTACGTCTATCGGACAACACCAAATGAATTGTTACCGGAGCAAAAGTCCCCAGCTGAAATCCTGATGGGAAGAAGATTGAAAACGATCCACAGCCTGATGCATCCGACCAATGCACCCTCATCAGTAGAGACAAAGCAGCAAAGACAATCCGCTTACGAGGTGGGATGCCCTGTGTTTGCCCGCGACTACAGAACGAACCATGGTCCTTGGGTAGAAGCGAGAGTGGTCAGAAGGGTTGGTCGAGTTATGTACGAAGTAGAGGTAGGAGGTGATAAATGGTCACGTCATCGCAATCAGATACGCAGACGGCTGGCCCCAGATCGCCCATCAAGAGCAGAAAGCCTTCCCCTTGACATCTTGCTTGATACCTTCAACCTACCGAGAGCCCCGCCACGAGAAGAAACGCAGCAACAAGCTGTTCTTCGTTCCCGAAAGTATCCCCTCAGACAGCGGCGAACAATAGTCAAGATGCAAGTCGACCCCAGGAGAACACGCTATTAAAAAGGGGAGGAGTGTTGGGGATGTTAGATCCCCAAAATTCGCTTGATAATGCCGTATTTTGGTTTTCACGTTTCGCCAGCATGGGCTGATCAGATGACCTTGAGATTTCAATTCCCACCAGCAAAATCAATGGCTGTGATTGGCTGCAGTGTATTTTAGTATGCTATTTTCTTAACTGTCTCAAGGACGTTGTTATGTTGTATAAATAAACGAGAGTTGTATGCTTGATTGTACTGTGATTGCTGGGTGTTTGTAGAATATACTTCCTACGCTTACAAAGCCTTCTATTTCGATTTTGGGTATTCAAGGTAGCCTCCCTGGAAGCTGGTAAAAGTCTCGTTCGCGTTTATCGACTAAGGTAAACTCGTAATAGCCTCAAGCATACTAAGTGACGAACTTATCAGAACCGCATTCCGAACATGCTGGCATTGTTGCTTAGGAGAGTCAGAAGACTCTGCATTTTGTCAGCGTCTTCACGGAATAGAACTATGTCATCCGCTTACTGATTCGTAAGATCAACTTTTATCAAAAGTACTTGCATGAATTGATTTGATCTTTTGGGATAGTTTTCGTTCAAGAGAATAAGTATCCTTTTTGTCAACTAGAGAATTATTAAACAAAAACCATATATCATCAAACAACGAATTTGTTTTTATTTGAGACATTTCAGTAATGCATACTTATGAGATTAAAAAAACCTATGGTGTATTTAGGTGTTGAATCAAAGATGATGAACTCAAACCATTGACTCACGATCTACTAATACGCTACATTTTCTGTTGACACTAATTCATAATATATTATATGATAAGTAAGCAGTGAAATGACGAACATTTATAAAACCGGAGGATTTTCGAGGTATTCTCTTATTTGAATGGTTTAATTGCGAGATCAGAAAAGCTCGACGATAGCCTTTCGGATTCAGGACAAGGTTTGAATCCAACAGGTAATATAAGTTCTTTCAAAATTACAAGTATGACATGCTGAGAAGTGTCAATTAGCAAGAAACTCGAGTCTATGATTTTATGCTGATTTGCCTACAACTATCTAAAATAATATTTCATGTTTGATGTAAAATACTTAGAATTTGTAACCTGATTGTCAAATTTTTATCACACATTACCAGAAGCAGTCAACAAACTTTTATTTTCACGGAAATTTACTTTCTTTTTAAATTATTATAACGTTGAGTTTGTACGATGGAAAATATACCGACGGAATTATCAAACAAAATCAAATTGACAGTAATCCTCCTACCTATCATGAAATGACCGTCAGACTTATAAACAGTCTACCACTTATAATAACTTTTTACAAAAGAAACAAGTTTCTTATTCATAGGTTGGGTGTGCTACCACTGGATTCACTGATAATAGAACGACTACGATGGAAATGAAAATCATTTACAAACTTTGTTGCAAATATCGATTATCATATACCTATGTGGTCTGTTCTAATCTTTGGACAGGTAAACTATTCTAATCTATCTATTAGTCTTATCATTCATTCGTTTGGCCTTGCTAGTTACTCACGTGTAATAATATTGACCATGCTTGATACGTAAATGTGTACGCATCGATATTCTTGCATCTTTTTTTATGCTTATAAAGACTGAGTCCCATTTTTAATCACAGAGTCAATGCATCAGCCTCCACGCCATCTCAACTTAATGTATGTCTGAGAAAAATCAGTAACGGGTATTAACTCCTCAATCTTAATTCGTATTCAGTTTTTTTTAATAACCGCCTTCACTGAAACGAGGTTAGCTGAAGTAGAAGAAGAAATGAAAGAGGAAGGAGAATTTTTCGTTTACGGCTTATTTGACATTCGTTCATAATAAAGTCAGTTTGTAGACCTTATGAAGATATTGTTCAGGAAGTATAATTCAGAGAGATAAGTTTAGAAAGAAAAACGTAGAGGTGTTGACGAATCCAGAAGATTAGGATTTGAGAGAACACAAAGAGTGGATGCACCTGCACCGTTACAAACCATTTTGGGCCATGTCATTCAAGGTTGTTAACCATTGGTGAACTCCGTCTCGCAAACCCTAACCACTTAGCCTACATCTACCAACATGACTCACTCCACTTGTCAGTGACTTCATGCATTTCTTCCATGTTTTGGTCTGGCCGCCCCTTACTTTCTTCCAGCCTAAACCTACACCACAAAACTGCTCGACGAGGCAGTCGGTGGTTGGACATTCGCAACACATGTCCCGACCACCTCAACTGATGAAGTTTCACCACTTCATCTATTGATCTTCCATCCTTACCTAGTAATCGTTTCCTAACTATAGCATTGCTTACTCAGCTGTCCCAGGATATACGTGCAGTGCTTCGAAGACATCTATAATCGAAAACCAGTAACCTACGAATATCTTCTACTCTTACCGGTCATGTTTCGCATCGATATAGGAGAACGGAGCGAACTGCTGCACTCGACCTTTGGTTAGCAAACGGATATATCTCGCCTACGCTATACGTGAGACAAATTGGCAAAAGCCAATCGAAATTGTTTGCCTAGACATTAACTTATGTCTAGTGCATGAAGACTAATTGATGATTCCCTCAATTTTTTTTCTATCATTTTCAATCAAAACATTGATCACCAAGCATTAGAGAGAGTAATCGATCAAAATGAAGCCAATCATTAATCAAATCAAATCAAATATATATATATATATAATTTGAATCTCTTCAAATAACAACAGAGTAAATAAAACCTGGAAAACGGATAACAAGCAAACAAACAAACAAACAACCCAATTTGATAATCTAACAACGTTCAAATACTTTATATAATTCTGTTAATGAAGTAAGACGAATGAAACATGACTGTAAACACAATGGCCTATTGTTGCTCTCATAATCATCGAAATTGAAGCTGGGATATTTTCGACTAGGTAAGAAAGAAGTGCATAAAATAGGCCATAGTATATGTTGAATCATCCATTCACGAGATGATGATGACGATGACGAGGACTGTGATGATACAGTATTCTCTTTGTCTGATTCATCATCCACAGTGGGTGATTTAGGCGATTTCGGCAACGGAGAATTCATTTTGAATAAATTCGATGATGATGATAATAATGATGATGATACTGAATAGAAATCAGCTGTAATACAGCAAATATTTTCAAAACAAACTGATTCCACTAACCAACTAACTTGTGTAGCTAGTTTTGTTATATAAATTGGAAGTTGACTTAATTCAGGAATATAACTAGAAAGTGGAATTTTCAATAGAAAAAAAAACGGAAAAAAGAGGGCAAAAATACAATGATTAGCGTTTCGTTAATAAAAGGTACTGGTAAAGGTTATTTATAAGTGATACTTGGTTAGTGTACCATAAGAAAGTATAATGTCCCTTTTCAATTGAATAAATAACTTTTCAAAACCTATTGTTGTAGTAGTGTAGTGAAAGAGAACACAGGTGGAGCAACCGAAATGTATTTAACGGAAATTACAGAGTTACTCAGTAAAATCGGAAAACCATATCGTAAATCGTTCATTTGCAAAATATCAGTTCATCATATCGAACTGCACTGTTCCTGTTGCAAAACATCAATCCATTGTCACTATTCATGCGTTTCATACAAATTCCATTGTTTTCTAACTCTTCCTTTCTTGATCTTCCCCCATCTTCGGCTGCCAGACATTACGTTGACGCTCACGTCATATACTACTTATAAGTAGCTTGCACCACAGCACCACAGTAGTAGTAGTTGACATTGTCAATGGTAAGGTTTTAGACTTAAATAAATTATTTTCTTTATTTATTCAATTACTGCTCGTGTATCCTGTATCCTGGGACAACCGATTAAGCAATGCTGTCGTTAGGAGTTTAATAATACTAGGTAGGGATGGCAAATCAATAGACAAAATATTAAAACTTCATCAGTTGAGATGGTTGGAACATGTGTTAAGTAATTCCAACCACCGACTGCCTCGACGAGCTATGTTTTGCAGTGTAGGAGTAGGTTGGAAGAAGGCTAGAGGTGGCCAAACCACAACATGCCAGAAATCCATGAAGTCACTGTCAACTGGACTGAGTCATGTTGGTAGATACAGGCTACGTGGCTGGGATCCACAAGACGACAGTTAGAGACTTTGAACGACATGGCTGAAAATCGTTTGCAACGACACAGGTGCAACCACTCCTTGTGTTCTCTGAAATTCTAATCTTCTGAATTCCTCATCACCTCTATCTTTCTCTTTCTAAAGTTATTTCACTGAACTATACTTATTATATAATTTCTTCGAAACCCTAATCTTCTCCCCAACCGCTAATCCTTCTACTATCTCTATCACTATGGGATTTGAACTGATAATTGCGTCTCTGTGTTAATGTTGTATGGCAACATGAACTTATGTATCCATATATGAAGTTTTACATTGTAACTGACTGACTGCCTGACTGATTTATTCAATTGTTCTTAAGGTTTTATGATTCTTTCATAATTTGAACAGTACTTAATCAGAATGATCATTAACATTCCGACTGTTGCTGAAATTAATCACATCTACTATAATACAACAAAAAATTGATTAGTCTAACACTAACTAATTGAGATTTCAACATCATTCAAATAATAAAACTTCATTATGAAGTCATGATGTATAAATGTTAAACAGCTAAATATCATTTTATTAGTACACATACAATCCTACTAATACACATTTATTGTTAACAGAAAATTGAAAATTGACAACATATCTATATCTAGGTTTTAGTCAAATTGATAAATTTGGCCTTAGAATAAAAAAATAAAAAAAATTTCAATTCAATGCAATATAAGTGAAATGATATGAAAAATCTAATTGACTTGAACTACAACTTCAAACTACCCCTATTTGTTGTCATAGAGAGAATAAATATTGTTGCTAGCTTGTATCAAATAGTAAGAAGATTACTTATGTATAATATTAACTCTTTTGTATTCATGATGTAGGTAACCATAATTTAAAATGTTTTGAGTTTTAATTGAAATTTTCAAATTATTTTATTCAGAGAACAATTGTAACAATATTCTGTGGGATGATTTTAAATACAGAACAAAGAAATTTGCTTCAGAAATGAAGTATATGTACTTCAGCTATATCATACTAAATATGTATATATACGTATATATATAACTCCGCCTGGAGCCGAGTTACGGTTACTGTCGGAACCAAACCCGGATAACGAAAGAGGGATAAGCATGAAGTTAGCGACCCGATTCCGTGAGAAATTAACTCGGTGAAAAAGCATCAAACCATTCAAGCTCTGATCTGGAAGTTAGAACGTCTTCGGTTAGAGAAATCATCACGCCTCACAGCGAAAGCCAAGTTCCTTCGGAAGTCACGAGGCCGATGGCCCTTACAACAAGCAGGGCAACAATCAATATGGGAAACCGGAAGAACCGTTCAAAATAGTGAGGAAATGAAAAGACACAATCTTGGGGTGTTTGAAATAAGTGAAACCGATTGGACGTAGGCTGGACAAAAAGGATTAACTTCAGGGAAAGATGAAGGAGAAAAAGGCGACAAGAGAAGGAAACATGAGACAACTATACGATACAATGAACAACCTTGCTGGAAAATATCGTAAATCAGAACGACCAGTGGAAAGCAAGGAAGGCAAAGTAATCACTAACATCGAAGATCAGCAAAACAGATGGGTAGAGCACTTTAAGGATCTCTTGAACCAGCTAGCCCAAATGAACCCACTCGACATCGAAGCAGTATCCACGGACCTCCTAATCAATGATGGCTCAACCACATTATAAAACATTAGCATAACCATCAGACGATCCAACAGTGGTAAAGCAGCAGTTGTAGACAACGTACAAACTGAGGCAATGAAAGCAGACATAGCAATAACTGCGGAAATGTTGCACGCTCTGTTCAGCAAGATTTAGGAGGAAGAACAAGTAACAAGAGACTGGAAAGATGGATACTTGATCAAGATACCGAACAAAGGCGACCACAGTCAGTGTAAGAACTACAAAGGCATCGCGCATCTCTCAATACCGAGCCAAGTCTTCAGCAGCCTGTTATTAAACAGAATGAAAAACCCCATAGACGACCAACTTCGAGACCGACAAGCTGGATTCCGTAAAGACCGATCGTGCACCGACCAAATTGCTACATTACGGATCATTGTGGAACAATCAATTGAATGGAACTCACCACTCTATATCAACTTCATTGACTACGAGAAAGTATTTGATAGTGTGGACAGGATGATACTATGTAGGCTTCCTCGACATTAAAGTGTACCTGAGAAGATAGTTAACATCATACGGAATTCTTACGATGGACTACATTGCAAAGTCTTTTTCTTTTTTCTAGTGGTTCACTGGGTTATGAAAATTTCAACATCTGAGGGGAAGCACAGAATATAGTGGATAGTTTGGATGCAGCTGGACGATTTACATTTCGCAGATGATCTAGCCTTACTGTCCCACACGCAACAACGAATACAGGAGAAGATAGCCAGTGTAGCAGCAGCTTCTGCAGTAGTAGGCTTCAATATACACAAGGGGAAAAGCAAGATACTTTATCACAGTACGACGTGCACCAACCAAATCACACTTGACGGAGAAGCTCTGAATGATCTAGAAACCTTTACATATCTGGACAGTATCATTATTTAGCAAGATGAAGCTGGTACAGATGTGAAGACACGGATAAGCTAAGCAAGAGCGACATTTAGAATTCTTAAGAACAAAAGAAAAGAGGTAGACCAAAAAGCACATTGCATCGACAATTGAAGAAGGACATGAAAAGAATGAACAGCAATGAGGAACAACTGGAAAGGAGAGAGGCTGGGACAGAGTTAGTTGGAGAATCCTGATCGGCGGAGTATTTATAAATAAACATAGTAGTATCTGATTATTTACACCAAAACAGGTGGAATGAGAATCAAACCTGTGACTTAAAGGTTAAAATCTGAACATTGTACGAACTGATTAACCTCTCCACTACAAAGATGAATTGAAAATATGATTCCTTTCAAAACTGTAATATTTTTTATTTCAGTATTATGTGAGGTCAGTAGTATGCAATGCTCATTAGCTATTCGAAAAATATAAATGAAGTTAATATGAAGTTTTTTGCATTTACCAACACTCAGAGTTATATATTTTCCTACAAGATTTACAAAACTACCAATTATCAATAAATTACTGAAATAAATCACATTTCCACACATGGGAAACATTTAATTAAATTCTCAAGAATTATATCTGAATTATTGAAATGATTCACGTTAAACATTTTTCCATTCATAAATTATGCATTCGATTCGACTGTAAAAAAAAAGGAAAAACATGACGTTCACATACTAACCGAAGTTGCGATTATTGGCAAATAAAAATCGGTAGTTAGTATTGAACTGAAAAAATCTAAATTACTTGTTGAAAAATAGGCGTAGTTTGTAATTTCAATTCGAAAATATATTTAACAATAACAAAACAAACAAACTTACTTAGCTATAATTAATGGAATTCCAGTCAGTACTTGATTTCCATTGGAATCGATAGTTATTTTAATTGAAAAATAATCCCATAGCATAGATGCATGCTTAACAAGAGTAGCAGTAGCTTCTTGAATAAATTCCAATGAATTGAGATGAGATAATTTACGTGATGATTGTCGTAGATATTCATGTCCTATAGATAAAAGATCAGCTAATGGAGCTGGTTCACGAAGTATTATCTAACAAAAAATAATAACACAGTTGAGGAAGATACCAATAAAGCATTCGATCAAATAATAAAGGTTATGGACTCTAATGAGATATACAGCAGTACAACAGGTAGTTCAATGAAATAATATTTAATTTATTTGACAGCAGTATAATTATTGTTGAACAGAAACTAACTACTTATCTATTCAATGAACCTTGATTTAGAAATAAGATCTGCTTTACAGATTAGCAACGGACATCATTCCGCATAACCTACATGGAGTCCAATAGCAGTCAGTCAGTCAGTTACAACGTAGAACTTCGTACGTAAGTACATCAGTTCAGGTTGCTGTACCATATTAGTACAGAGACGCAATTGTCAATTCAAATCCCCGACACAACCGAGCTCAATATTGGCTGGAACATATGTTCTTATAGGTTCTACCATGCTAGGCAGGTCGATTGGAGAACGATCAGACTAAAAGCAGCTGCTTCTCAAGGTCTGAAGGCGAAGTCGTACTGTTGACTGTAGAGGGGCGTGACAGCAGTAAGATGTTTCCCTAGGACAACCAGCATCTGCAGCGACGCTGCTGCCTTCTCACAAGGAAGGAAGGGTTAGAAAAGGTCGACCCTAAAAATGTCACACCTCACCCTACCACACGGATTTCCGTCTCCGGTGGTAAGGGTGCCCACTAAAGGCTCTTAAGAAGAGCGGAGATACTAATCTGAAAACCTCATGAAAAGGCCGTGCGCGACTGGCCTCAAGCAGCTGTCCCTTTGACTCTGCGGTCACGCTCTCAGGTCTCTAAGACGGATACTAATCTACCTTCCTTTTCAGGTCCTTCAAGAAACACCCTTCTGCGGTGTGCGCAGCCGGGAAGTGACACCCGCCCTCATACCCGTAACAGTGCACGAGATCAAATTGGTCGAAATCGAATCCAATAGACACAGCAGGTTATTGATACAAAGAACAATATAGATACTGAGGGGACTGAACGATTTACAAGTTCAAAGGTTTTGAATAGTTAACTTTCACATAAAATATTTCTGATTACTTGAAAAGATTTGATTTTATTGCAAAAGCCTTGTTATTGTTATGAATTGAATATCGGTTAAATAATTATAGTTACATCTTTACTGTGATTGTTTCAATAACACGTGTATTATAGATTCGTTGAAACAATAAGTTTGGTTTATAGAAACATAGAAACATTTTTTGTTGTATATGGAAGAAGAGGGAATCAATTTTCAATGTATGGAAATTGGTCATGAAGGGAATTTTAACAGTATCACTTTACAAGATAAAACACAATTGTTCCACCCTGGATTTTAACTGGAATACATTGAAAAGTCAGAGAGTTTACAATTGAATAAAATAAAACCAACTATTCAAATGATTTCCTTTTTGTATTTATTTGATTGATATCAACAGTTTTGATCTCTGCTGGCTAATGATGACGGTGAGTTTTGTGAAAGACGATGAAAATGAACTTAAGAAAAACACTGCCAATTTTTATTGTGTGATCCCGACTGATAGGCAAATAACACTTGGGTCTACGACTTGAAACTGAGGTTAAAATAAACTCATAAATCACATGAACAAATCTATATCGTATTGATCTGTTTCCGATTCCTTTCATCTAAATACTTGTCAGTTATCTAGAGATCAGAAAAGATCCAGTAAATTTGAGTTAGAGTAGCAACTATAAGAAACTCCGCTTGGAGCCTTTCTACAGTTACTGTCGATCCCAAACCCGGATAAAGGAGGAGGGTCGGGCATGTGGTTAGCGACTCCATCCCATAGGAAATCAATTCATTAAAGAAACACTAACCAGAAAAAATAATTCAAACTATTTCAACTCTGCTCTGAAAGTTGGCACATCTTCATTTAGAAGAATTATGACGCCTCGTAATGAAAGCCAAGTTTCTTCGGAAGTCAACAGGGCGATGCCCCTTCTGAGAACCAAAGTAACCATTAATATGAGTACATAGAATGCCCATACATCGTGGGAAGCAGACAGAAAAAGGACGAATAACAATCGAAAAAACCTAGAAAGGAAAGCCCATGACAAAGTAGGCTGGAGAAAACTGGTCGGCGGCCTATATTCCATTAAGGATAAACAGACGTAATTAAATAAGTATCAATAAGAAACACGAAACATAGTTGATTGATAATTTAAAAAAAAACAAAAATGATAAGTTCATAATGAATAAATTACTAGTACATTTGAATTAAAATTAAAATTTTGAATCACTTTGTTTTTCTGTTTTATCAAATGAAAAAAAATGAACAATTTTTAAAAAAAATCTCCCGCAATTTTTAAATGGCATCCACCTATATTATATACACGTGAATGAAATAAGATGTAAACAATACAAAGTTTGTTAATTCATTGGTATACATGAAATAATTATTGATTAGAAATCATTTATTGAATTAATTAAATAATTAGATAAGTTTTATTCAATTTAGTTAAACTTCTATATTCACGTGAATGATATGATAGGTAGGCAAGTTGGTTTATTTCCAAATAGAATAATAAATATACAAACAAATAAGGAAATAATGTAAACTTTGATTTTTTTTATATTTCAATAAGTACAATAATAATAATAATAATAATAATAATAAAATAAAATACTAAAGAAATAATTAAGCAATGGTTATTTGCATTGCATATTGGGAAGATTGAAAAAAAAATTGTCAAAATTATTTCCAATTTTCCACTTGATTTCATTGATACGAAGAAAGTGAACTTTGTAGTTTATATTAGCCAATGAAAAACGGAAACGATAAATATATATATATATATAAAAGATCTTGTATCAAAGTGAATTGCCGCATACGAAAACAGTACAGAAAGAGAAATTAAGAATAAGAAAATGTATGATAGAAATGAACAGAGTGAAGAAAATGTAAGAAGATTCGACAAACAGATTTCAACTACATATTACTTATTTCCATCAGCGTAATTGAGTAGTATAATTAGTTTTTGCACAAAATTGCATAAATCAAAAACCCGAATAAATCCAGCAGGTAAGTTAGTTAGATATTTATAAAAGAGCTTATCTTAAACTACTAGTTCACTTCCAAACTGATATGATTATTATAACAAAAGTTATTTTTACGATTAACTTTGGTCAATATTATATGGTTAGTACAATATGGAATTGTCAGCGTACAATAAATATCACAACACGTTTTTCCTATTCCCTGAACATCATAAAAGGGTGACATAAAAATGGATCGACAACTGCATATATATACACACATGAACTATCTTCAACTTAATATTTTTAAGAAGATAAGAATCTATATCACTGATAATTAGCAACATGTTCAAAAATATGAGTTTTTTTATTCAGTATCATGTAATAGTAATCTTAGTGTTTTCTTGACTTGTCGGTTTTAATCTATTGTGAACTAATTCAAAAGAAAGTCAGTCAGTCAGTTACAACGTAAACTTCGTACACGGATACATAACTTCAGGTTGTCATACTGCATCAGCACAGAAACGTAACGGTCAGTTAAAATGCCATAGTGATAGCGATAGTGGAAGTATAAGCAGTAATGGAGAATATTAGGGTTCGAAAATATGATTGGAGAAGTACAATTCAGTGAGATAAATTTAGAAGGAGAAAGACAGAGATGGTGAGGAATTCAGTAGAATTGAATTTGAGAGAACACAAGGAATGGATGCACCTGCGCCATTGCAAACGATTTTGAGCCATGTCATCCAAGGTCTCTAACCATCGGTGACATACGTCTCGCAGACCTCAACAAGGTAGCCAACAGCTACCAGCATGACACAGTCCACTTGTCCGTTACTTCATGCATTTCTGCCATGTTTTGGTTTTTCCGTCCCTAGCTCGCTTCCAACCTACTCCTGCACCTGAAAACATAGCTTGGCGGGGCAGTCGGTGGTTAGGTATACGTAACATATGTTCCATTCCAACCACCTCAACTGATGAAGTTTTTATTACTTCATCTATTGATGTAAAACTCTTCCATAAGACCTGTATCCTAACAACAGCATTGCTTATACGGTTGTCCCAGGATATACGAGCAATGCTTCGAAGACACCTATGATCGAAAACCAGTAGCTTATGAATATCTTCTACTCTAACTGGCCATGTTTCACACCCATATAGTAGGACGGAGCAAACTACTGAGCAGTATACTCGTCCTTTAGTCAGCAAACGGATATCTCACTTACGCCATAGATGACGCAACTTGGCAAAAGCCAATCGAGCCTTCTGTATCCGTGCTGAGATTTCGTCAGACACCAGGCCATCAGCACTGATGAGACTCTCGAGATAAGTGAAGCGATCGACACCCTTAACTGCTTCACTTCTTATCACTAGTTCAGGTGCCGATGCAACCCAGTCTTGACGCAGCATTTTGCATTTCGAGGGGGAAAACCGCATCCCGAAAATGCTTACATTGTATTGTTGCTCAGGGTAGTCAGATTACTCTGAATTTTGTCAGCGTCTTCACCAAGTAGAACGATATCATCAGCATATGCTAAGCCAGCAAGCGTGTCTCCTGGTAGAAGTTTTATTCCTGAAAATTCAGACGATGATAATATCAAAACTAAAAGCATATCTACGACAAAGTTAAACAAGAATGGGGAGAGTGGGCAGCCCTGACGGACACCACTTGACGTAAAGAATTCCGATGACAGTTCGCCATAAGCTCTTACTCGACCGGTGGTGTTCGAATAAAGAGCCTTCATAAGGTTAATGTACTTCTTTGGAATTCAAGTCAACACAGAACCCCACACACACAGTTCATCATTAGAACGCATACATTATTAACATATATTAGAAAGGATATTTAAAACAAGTAAAAAAAAACCAAATATCCAATAAATATTACTCACTTCTCCATGATTGCCAAAATTTGTTAATAATAACTGATAGAATAATGCTTGACTTAATGGTTTTAAGCGTATCAGCAATAATTCTGTATGATGTTGAGCTAAACACCTTGTTTCATCAATAAAACCAATAAATTTACATGAACGTAATGTAGTTTTGATTGATTGATCTATATCACTTTCTAAAGTATGTTTTAATGCAAGAATACTCATTAAATAGACTGTCCGATGACGAGGTTTTGATGATTCTGTCATATTATTATTACTAGTTGAATAATTTAAAAGTGTATTAGATTTTTTAAGTAATTCATCCGTGGTATTAGTAGTAGTATTTTGTGAAGATAATAAATTTGTATCGGATTTTATTAATGGCTTAGATGTTAAATTAGCAGTGATATCAGCATTCATCTCATTACTAGTGAATGATTGTAAACTTTTCTCAGTTGGAGTGGTTAATTCATTTTCTTCTGAATACTTTTCTTGTTTGTTATGATTTAAGTTGCATTGGTCATCAGTGACTCTGAGAAAAAAAAACGAGGAAGGTAAAGCTTAGATATCTTTTAGCTTTTGTTCGACAAGAGAGCATGTCTATAGACAAACTTTGAAGTAAATGTATGTGAATATAAAACAAAATCAGAGAATACGACAGATTATAGAAATAATTATATATATATATATATATATATATATATATATATATATATATATATATATATATATATATATATATATCCACGTCAAGCTCTTAAACGAGCCTGGTTAGGTAGAAAGCTTGTACAAAGTTAAAGTAATTCTTTTGTACTCTTTTAAATGGTAGTCATTGCTGCAGAACCTCACGACTGAGAGAGTCAAATGCCACCTTAAGGTCCAGAAGACAACTATTGTAGGACGCCTAAATGGGTGTCTGTGTTCCAGGACCTGTCGTATTGTGAATATCTGGTCTATACAGCCACGTGTCCAGGTCTGAAACCAGCCTGGTTTTTTCTAGTCTGCACTTCATGTGCACTAGTTAGGGGTCGGAGTGTTATTGGATTTAATGTTTTAGACACTATATTAGTCAAACTGATTCGTCTGTGACTGTCACAAGAGGACTTTTCTCCTTTCTTATAGTCTGAGATCATTCCCGATTGAGACCAGTCAGATAATAATACGTCCAGATTCTACCCTAAGATTTCCGTCAGTTTCACTGCTAAAACTGGACCACCATCTATCAAATTCTCATGGGTTAATCTATCAGGTCCTGCTGCTCTTCGCTTCAGATTGCCTATAGTTTTTGTAACTTCACTAACAGTCGGAGGGCTTGAATCAGCCTGCTATTCAGGTTGATTGGAGATCGTGGGTGACTGAAGTGTGGCGGAAGGCCAGTCGAACTACTCTTTAAAATGTTCTACCCAGCATGTCGGTTCTTTATATTGACATGGTGAGGTTAAGTGAATAACTCTACTTGAATCTTGAATATGTGTTTCGGAAAAACAGAATAATTTTATAGCTTGCGATTGGTTTCACGAGAACAGGGATAACGTTTCGTGGATTTAAATCATTATCATTAGTGACATGAGGTGATGAAGATATACACGAAAAGTTAGTTATAGAGATAAAAAAGTTATTCAGAGGTGAAGGAGAAATCCGGTAATGAATATGATGATCTTGTGTGCTAATTAGAGGTATGACAACAGTCGTCACTTCCCGGCTGTTCACACCATGGGACGATATTTCTTCTTGAGGTAACTGAAAAGGAAGACGAGTTAGTGTTGGTTCTAGTGAACTAGAAGCGAGACTACCGACTCCAAGGGACAACTGCTTGAGACTGATCTGGCACGACCTTTTAATAATCAGTTTTTGACGTATTAACTCCTCACATTAAAAGGCCTTAACACGGAAGACAGAAACCTGTGGGGTAAGATGAAGTAGTCTACCTTTTCTTACTCCTTCCTTAAGCTGTGAAAAAGGCAGTATTGCTACAGAGGCTAGTCGTCTAAGGGAAATAACTTACCACTATCACACCCCTTCTAGAGTCAGTAGTACGGTTTCGTCCTTGGAAGTTAAGACTCCAATTAACCTGCCTGGAATGGCAGGACCTAAAAGAACATTTGTTCCAAGGAATATGTCTAAGCCAAGTCATCGTCATACTCAAACCCAACTACCACGTCAGGGTAGCGGCTATGGTCGATGAGATAAAGTTCATTACATTCTAATTTAGTAGCTTTCTCAAGCTGATATCACAGTCCATGATAAGCATTGGCATTTTGTTCTCATTTTATTTATGCATAATTTCATTAGTACATGTATTCACAATTAGGATTATAAAAAATATATAACATTTTACTAACTCTATTGTGCTTCTTCTATCCAATTCATTGTAATCATTCAAAGAATTATTCTCTTGTAATAAATTAGATTTCAATATTTCATCAGCTTCATCCGAATCCACTTCAATATCTGGACTCATTTCCGCAATGGATTTTTTCAATGAATCATTATTATTATTATTATTACTACCATTATCACGTGATAATTTATGTTTATTATTCTCTGTATTACTATTATTATTACTGATGTAATTTGACTGAGGTGATAGAAAACGTTCAAGTTGTTGTTCACGTATATCAATGCGTACTTTTTCATGTGGTCTATAAACAAGTTGTGGTGTAGTATGCGAATCTTTAGAAGTGTGATCTATTGATTTATCATTTGGGATAGTTAATTCTTTGGAATTTTTAAAATTAATTGATGTTGGCAAAGAATTCCTAATGAATGTTCGAATTTGTGCCGATGATAATAAGGCATGTTCAATGGCATCTTGTAGTCCATTCACTATTTCATCCTAGAATAAACAAGAATGTAGTGATTATATGAATCACGTTGTACTTATCATAAGAAGGATTTCGATTGTTGTCAACTAAATCGATCAATAATCTCAATACAGGTACGTTGACTTTTTTTACTTAAACCTCAAATTAGTCATAACAAGAAAACCAAAACAAAACAGAATCAAAAAGATTTATCCAATTTCAATGAATCCATATGAATCAACACATACATGTGGTGCTGTGGTGCGAGCTACTTATAAGTAGTATATAACGTGAGTGTCAACGTTAAGTCTGGTAGCATAATATGGGGGGAAGATCAAGAAAGGAAGAGTCAGAAAACAATGGAATTTGTATGAAACGCATGAATAGTGACAATGGATTGATGTTTGGCAACAGGAACAGTCTAGTTCCATAGGATGAACTGATCTTTTGCAAATGAACGATTTACGATATGGTTTTCCAATTTTACTGAGTAACTCTGTAATTTTCGTTAAATACAATTCGGTTGCCCCACCTATGTTCACATTCACTGCATACATACAATAAGAAAAAAAGTATGAATAATCTAACCTCATGAAGAAAATTCACTTCAGCTTTAGTTGGATGTACATTAACATCTAAAGTATGCGCAGGTAATTGAATATTTAAATAAACATATAATGAATGACATGTTGACGATTTAAACATTATATTTGAATGCGTAGATTTCTTATTGATTACTCTTTGTCGTTCTTGATCCATTGAATTCCATGATAGAGTACGTGAAATCACTGATGAATAAGCACATTCAACAATACGTTTTATTGATGTACAATTAACTAGACGATTATTAATGAATAGATTAAATTTTAAAGATGGATTTACACCTGTAGGAGTAAGAACAAAAAAAAAGACAACTATAATCAAAACAAAAGCGTCCATTGTTATTTAAACTTTTGAATCCCGACTGTAGCTGCCACCTTGATGTGGTGGTCGAGCTTGTCTATCGCGATGACCCAACCGAGCTATATTGGCTGGAACTTATGTTCCTGAAGGTTCTACCATGCCAGGCTGGTCGATTGAAGAACGATGAGACTAAAGGCAGCTACTCAAGATATGAGTGCGAAATCATACTGCTGACTGTAGAGAGGTGACGCAGCAGTAAGGTGTTTCCCTCGGACAACCAGCATCTGCAGTGATGCTGCCTTTTCACAAGGAAGGAAGGGTTAGAAAAGGTCGACCCTAAAAATGTCACACCTCACTTTACATCACGAATTTCCGTCTCCGTCGGTAAGGGCTGTCTAATAAGGGCTTTTAAAAATAGCCAAGCTAACGCTTTAAATACTACACATAAAAAGGTCGTGCGTGATCAGCCTCAAGAAGTTGTCTCTTGGGCTCTGCGGTTATACTCCCAGGTCTTTAAGACGGACACTAATCTATCTTCCTTTTCAGGCTCCTCAAGAAACACCCTTCCACGGTATGGGAAGCCGGGACGTGACAACCGCCCTCATACCCTTAACAGCATACGAGACCATATTGGTCACAATCAAATCAAACACGTGAATATATGTGTGTGATGTTCAATTATCAAGTTTATAGTGATGTTTTGTTTGGAGTATTGGGAAACAATACAACAATTAAAGAAGACCGTTTAATCAATATTTGAAAATAGTTAATTGAATCAAACAAAATTACAGTATTGATATTGATAAAACAAATGATAACTCATATTTGAAATCATCAATCAATCATTGTCAAATCACCGTTAGAAACTCACAAGCAATGGACGGCCGTTTCATCAGCAGTGCGCATCCACGACCGCTGCAACTCGCAGGATTAGAACCTGAGGCCTTCGGTCTTGTGCGCGAACGCCTAACCTGCCGTCCAGTGCTTCCAGGTTTCTAATAGTTGTCTAACAATGATTGATTGATGATTTCAAATGTGTAAAAACACTATGAAGATAATTCATATTACAGAAAAATATTACCAGTTCCCTAAAATTCGTATAAATGATACAAGATCATGCCCATTACAGTCGATGTTCGATCAATTGACTGATTAGGTATTATTTTCAAATGAATGGTATGAATTTTATTGACATAAACATAAATTAGAATGGAAGTTTGTACAGTCTACACACAATTGCCTATTTCATATGCACATCAGCGTTATTGAATTATTAAGTCTAAACTCATATATATCATAATTAGTGTTTTGAAAAAATCACTTTTCTATTCAATAAGGATCCAACCTTCTATATTAGCATCAGCATGAGTTGTGATCACGTGTAATTGAGATAATCGATTCTAATTGAATAGTAGCCTAATCCTAGAAATTGATGAACTAACACATTTGAAATCATCAATCGGCCATTGTTAGACCACCATTAGAAACCTGGAAGCACTAGAGAGCCGTTTCGTCCTGGTATGGGACTCATCAGCGGCACGCATCCACGACTCCTGCACCTCTCAGGATTCGAACCAAGAACCTTCGGTATTGTGCGCGAACGCCTAACCATTGGACCACTGGGCCGGCATCCAATGGTATTAATGTCTAACTCTGACTGATCTAGGGATTTTGCGCAACCTCACTCATTTGTCATCGGTAGTTATTGCCTACACCCGACAGGGTTGAACTCCACTGATCACGTCTTCTCACTAGAACTCCGAGAACTTCTTCAAGAAGCTAGTCACTGGTGAGTACGCCTAACTAACAGTTAGAGAATTAAGCATGAATCCTCATGAAAGAGTAGAGTATCTTGAGCTAGAAAATCTCAAACAAACAACTAAAGGAATATTTTAAACGGGGAATTTTTAATGAATTATTTGTTGCGCTCAATGATTAGAATCACAGCTGCAGTTTTGTTAGACTCTTTAAAATCTCTTAATGAAGCACACCAAGTTCATGACAGGATCAGAACATGATGACACGACAATATCGCTAATAACTATGAGACAGATTTAACCCTTTGCGAACCTGCTTAAAAATAAAAAAGTACAAGACAAGACAACAAACGACGTGAAGCAGAATAACATTTCTCCAGATTAATAAAGCACTGGATTACATGATTATGAAAAGATGTTAATTTGGAAAGTGAAGCATCATTGATCAGTTAAAAGAATACCTAAAATACAAAGACTATTCATAACAGTCATGAAACAGAATATTTCTCCTGTTTATTTTACCCCTAACAATTGTAGTTCTGTCACTTTATTCATTCTGAAAGAATTTATATATTTTTACCATGCACCAAAGTAGTCGACAGTATGAGCGGTTGAATACTTCCAGACATCTAATTAATGCACATTCATATTTTAAACAGTATGATTAGTGTTAGATAGATTTTAAAAAAGAAACATCTTTTTAACGATGTCAACAGAAAAGAAAAAGGCCAAGGAACCGATTATACCGGGAAATGAAGACAGACATGAGAAGAATGAACAAAAATAGGACAGAACTGCAAAAGGTTCGGGTCAGCAAGTAGGTTTTTCGATGCTGGTCAGTGACCTATACTCTCTATTGGGGGTAACAAGAGTAAGTAAGTAAGAGAATCATTATCAAACTGTATACTTAAAATGAAATATACTCCAAAAACTAAAAGGGCATATTTGTGTAAAACAAAAATTTATTCTCAATATATTTTATAGTATAATAAACGTTTTACGTTTTAATGAACATTAAAATTTCAAAAATTAGTAGTAATCTCCTCATCTCTCATTATAAAAACCAAAAAAAAATAAAATTAGCGTATGACACTAATACGTATAGATATGGATACCATATAAAATTCAATATAATGCTACTATAGAACTCTAAAAAAAAATGATAATGAAAATAATTAGAAAAAAAATAATGTATTCCCTATAAAGTACAAAATCCAATAAATGTGTTATTGATAATTTGAGAAAATTGCCTATTTTATAGTGTATTTAATAATTAGGTTAATGCTTTGCTTTTGGTGTACTTTTTTCATAAAACACTATTTTTTTCTAATTAAAAAATCAATCAATTAACAGCAACGTATAACTTCGTACGTACATACGTGCTTAAGTTCAAGTTTCCATACCACATTACCACAGAGAGCCAATTGTCAATTCAAATCCGATTGTAGTAGAGGAAGTAAAAGTATTAGCAGTAGTCGGAGAGGTTAAGATTAGAAAATATTATTCAAGGAGTAGAATCTAGTGAAACAGACTTAAAAAAAATAAACATAAAGTGATGAGGAATTGAAAAGTTTAGGATTTGAGAGAACACAAAGAATGAATGCATCTGTGCCGATCCAAAGGGTCTTGAGCCATATCGTTCAGGGTCTCTAACCATCGATTACTAACATCTCGCGGACCCCAACAAGGTATCCTACATATACAAATATGACTCAGTCCACTTGTCAGTGACTTCATGAATTTCTGACATGCCACCCCCAGCTTTCGTCCAACCTATTCCTATATCGCAAAACATAGCTCGTCGAGGGAGTCAGTGAATGGGCATACGTAACACATGTCCCAACCACCTCAACTGATGAAGTTTCATTACTTCATCTATTGATCTGCCATCCTCACCAAGCACCCGTTTCCTAACAACAACATTGCTGACTCAGGTGTCCCATAATACATGAGCAATGTTTCAGAGACACCTATAATCGAAAACCAGTAACCTACGAATATTTTCTACTCTTAACGGCCATGTTTCACACCCATAAAGTAGGAGAGAGCGAACTGCTGCGCAGTAGACTCGACCTTTGTTTAGCAAAAGGATATCTCGCCTTCGCCATAAATGACGCAAGTTAGCAAAAGCCGATCGAGCTTTCTTTATCCGCGCCGAGATTTCGTCAGACAACAGGACATCTACGCTGATGAGACTCATTAACACCCTAGTAATGATAAAAGATGAGGTGAAGCACATTCGTATTACTACATGAACATATATATATATATATATATATATATATATATATATATATATATATATATATAGAATGCAGATTTACGAAATAATTTTCTGTTGATAAAGAAATTAATATTCCACATTAAATAACAATCGGTAGGATAAAATACCAGTTTTCTATTTTGATTCTGTAGGTCAAAGTAATAAGCATACGTCAATAACAAAATAATTGTAATTGTTAACATAAATTCGTCTAAACTTCATATTATCTTCGAAAATAGTCAAATACTTTTGTGAGTATAAAATTTATGGAGATTAGTGATAAAGTAACGATTTATTACAGTCAGTGAATCAGTTCATATGCAACACAGAACTTGGTTTAAGTTACCATATTAAATGAGAATATCAAGATAACATTGTCAAGATAAATTACAGAGTAGTAGAAGTGGTGATAGAATCACTGGTGGCAGTAAATATCGAGCAGAACCACTAGAAAACTAGGTAAACGGAGGTATTAAGACCCAGAATCTTAAAGAATACAAGGAGTGAATGCATCTGCATCATCTCAAACGATTGTGAACCACATCACCTAATGCCACCAACCATCGGTTAAAATAAATAAAAAAACAAACTAACTAGGTAATCTGCATCTACCGACATGGCTCAATCAATGACACTTATGACATGTTCCAAACACCTCACTTGGTCAACATTGACTACCTCATCAATCGATTTGTTGTCCTCATCTACTACCCTGTTCCTCAGTCACGCATTGCTTACTCCCTGATAAAAATATACACCAACAATGTGTCCAAGACACCTATGATCAAATACTAGCAAGCAACTAACATCCTCTGTGCTTAATGAACATGCTTCACAACCATTAAGTAGCATGAAGCAAACTACTTCACGGTACATTCTTCTTTTTGTTGGCAAACGGATATCTCACCTACGTCACAAGTTGCATAAGTTGGCAAAGGCCAACAGAGACTTCTCTATCCGTGTCGAGATTACGTCAGATACCAAACCATCAAGACTGATAAGGCTCCCAAGATAAGTAAAGTTGTCGACGAGCTTAACTTCTTCACTCACTATTAGGTTCGTCATTCACAAAAACAAGTCCTGAAGCAAAAGTTTGCATTTCGAGAGAGAAAATCGCATTCCAAACATGATTGCATTATTATCTATTGCAAATCAAAAATCTTTACATTTTGTCAACGTCTTTTAAGTCAACAAGTGTATCGCCTGGTAGACAATGAAAGCATTATCTTCAAAAGAATACCTATGACAAAGTTCAATAAAACTTAAGAAGGTGGATAACCTTTATGAATATCATTTAAGATCAAAGAATCTGATGTTAGCTTTTCTACCAAATTTCCATTTGTGTTGAACATACTTAGCGATTATTCTGAAATAATTTATTTACACATGCACGAGTAAATTTTTGTAATAAATATAATTTGGAAATTGATTTTCTGAAGAAATAAGCTTTACTAGCTTCGTGTTCTTGTTAAAAACTACATTGTCTATAGAAAACTGAATAAGTCTATTAGTAGTGAGATACAGAACGGCTGATGCGATTTGAATTACCCGACAACTGATTTCATCATTTTTACAGTAGTTAAAGAGTACGATGTTCTACTGATACAAATAAATCTCTCAACAACAAATTGCACGGTGAAAACTAATAAACGAATTGACGTTGCGCAAAACCTTGGATTTATCAAAGTTAGACAATAACACTGTTGAATGCCGACCCAGTGGTCTAGAGGTCAAGTGTTCACGCACAAGAGAGAAGGTTCTGGATTCTACTGAGGTGAGCAGGAGTCGTGGATGCGTACCGCTGATGAGCCCCGTACTAGGACGAAACGGCCATCCAGTGCTTCCATGTTTTCTAATGGCGTCCACCCGACCGCAGCTGCTACCTTGACAAGGTGATCAAGCTTGCCTACCGTGATGACCCAACCGAGCTATGCTGGCTGGAACATATGTTCCTGAAGGTTCTACCATGCCAGGTAGGTCGACTGAAGAACGATCAGACTAAAAGCAGCTACCCCAGGTCTGAGGGCGAAGTCGTACTGCTGACTGCAGAGGGGTGTGACAGCAGTAAGGTGTTTCCCTCAAACAACCAGCATCTGCAGCGATGCTGCCTTCTCACAAGGAAGGAAGGGTTAGAAAAGGTCGACCCTAAAAATGTCACGCCTCACACTACCTCACGGATTTCCATCTCTTTGGGTAAGGGTGCCCACTAAGGGCCTTTAAGAGCGGAGCTAATCCTCAAAATACCTTTCATAAAAAGGCCCTGCGTGACCGGCCTCAAGCAGTTGTCCCTTGGACTATGCGGTCACGCATCCAGGTCTCCAAGGCCAACACTAATCTATCTTCCTTTTCAGGTCCCTCAAGAAACAACCTTCCATGGTGTGGGCAGCCGGGAAGTGACAACCGCCCTCATACCCGTAACAGCACGAGAGACCAATCTGGTCGAAATCAAATCCTTCCTACACCCACTGACTGAATGGTGTCCCAACAATGATCGATTCATGGTTTCAAAAGAAATTAAAATATGCTGCTTATATACCGATACATTGACATTTATTTAGAGTATTTGAAACCTTTGATTCGATAGAAATAGCACTAGCCATAGAATACTACATTGTAGAACTCAAACAGTTACTACTAAGCTGAAAACCAGTAAACTTTAAAAGATTCATCTATCAGTGTATTCATTGTGACTTATAAGAATGGCAACAAAATACGGTATAAGTATTAAACCGCAACTAAAAGGTAATATATATATATATAACATTTGACTGTTGTAAACGTAACGTTTGTTCTGTACTCAGCATTTTAGAGAATGTTGATTCACTGTTATTAAAATTGTACAGGCAAGTGTACTACAATGAATAAGAATATGACAGTATAAAGATATGAAAGAACTAATCTAATGAATTAACAATGATGATATACAACTATGAGTTAATTCCTTTTGTATGTTACGAAAAAAAGGAACTTATTTCTTTGGTTGCTTGTCATACTGTTTTTGTGGACGATAAAATCAAATTTCAGAACTTCCAGTGTCTTTGAATTTGAGTCGGGTCCGAATTTCCTAGCGATACAGTCACATCATCTTTCAGAATGTATGTGAAACATCTTAATAAGATGTTAAAATTGATGTAAATGTCTTTTAGTGTATTGCTTGACATGAGAGCTTGTTGAATTCATAGTAAAATAAATATTCTAGAAATCATAAGTACATTTATTATGATTATCAAACGGAAAACAATTAATCGATTGTGAAAATGATAGAATAAGGCATACAATGTTCAGTAGTTAACTCATATTGTTTTTTACTGATATGAGCTGACTGCAGGTGTGTATTACGTAAGTTGCATGATCAAGTCTACGCTAATTAGGTAAGTAGAAAGGAAATTTTTATCAGAGGCCTTATGTTCAAAGGTTAGGCGTTCGCACACAAGACCGAATGTCCCAGGTTCGAATCCCGTGAGGTGCGGAAATCTTGGATACGCACTGCTGATAAGTCCTATACCAGGACGAAAAGGCCGTCCAGTGATTTTATGTTTCCAATAGTGGTCTAACACTAATTGATTGATAATTTCAATGCGAAATAAAATAATTTAAATTAGTTGCCTCATTATTTGTTAGAAAATCTATCATAAACAACTTGTAATAATTCAACTCAGCAAAATAATAATTTACCTGAAGAAACTTGATTTGGTGCAGTCAATAAACCTTCATAGCGTAGACCATAACGTTCTATAGCTAAACGTGTCGATTCTGATGATGAACATTGGGAACTAGTGAAAGAGATTAAATTCTGTTCCATAGATAAACCAATCACAGCACGTACTGCATCCATTCTTGACCAACCAGCAGATGTACGCAAATCTAGAAAGAAAACAGTATATTTTGTTTAAGCAAAAAGAAATCAAAGATTTTTAATCAATATAGCATTTTAATACTTAATCATAATTAAGTAGACTAATTACTACTGGGATTTTAAAAACAGAAAAATGTGTTCATCATCCCAATGACTACCGTTTATGTGTTTTATACTAGATACAGTACACAGTGATAAAGTGTAGTTTACTGATTACGTTTAGGTTTATGTCCTATGATACAAACCAGCTGACTAAATTGAAATTTGTGGGACATTCAATTCGTCAAAGCAAAATTTCACCTATGAATTATTCTATAACATAACTTCAACTATTTCTCAAAAATGTTCTTAACAGGAAATTGAGACAATAACTTATATATTAATCTTTTTCTAATCAACCATTTACCAATATCTCAGTAAAATTTTAAGCCTTCAAAACATTGTGACTGTTAGTCTATGTGATGATTTTTCTGGTACTATTTATCTCTTACAAATCGAACAAGACAAATAAACACACATCTATGAAACAGTAATACATTAATTCTTATTTGGAAAATTCAAATTTTGTAAGCGCTAGCACATTTTGTAGGAAGCAGTTTATTTTAAGTCGATAAAATTAATAAACTACTGAAAATGAAAACAAAGCATTCAAACAGATTTTTATGATATAAAGAATAAAATTCATTTAAATTTTATTTGGAAAATTGGAAATCAGTTTGTTTGTTCGTTTTTTTTTAATAAAAAGATAAAAGAAGAATTGTGAACTGTTCATTTCAAATATGTGAAATAAAAACATATGAATTACTGAGGACCATTTATCATTCATTATTCATTGATTTAAAAACAGTCAAATATTGTTAATCAGCAGAGTGACAGTGCAGTATCAACAGTCGCTAATTCAATTTTTACGCAGTATGAATTTAGGTACTTAGGTTTTAAGGAAAAGTGTTACAAACTAGTTGGCAGTCCAAACCAGAGTACACACAAACTTACTTACACATCTATCGTATACCTCCATCATTTCCCAACGGAGTTCGATCCCGTCTCCTACACATTGCAGAAGCCATAGGAATACGCACATTCAACCCTAATTTATGTGTTCAGAAGAAATTCGTGACACCCCTATCTCTTCCGTGGACGGATATGACGTAACTAACATTTGAAACCATCAATCAAATATTGTTAGACCACCGTTAGAAACCCACAAGCACTGGACGACCGTTTCGTCCTGGTATGGGACTCATCAGCAGTGCGCATCCACGAATCTTGCACACGAACACCTAACCTCTGGACCACTGGGCCGACATCCAATGGTGTTAATGTCTAACTCTTAACTACGCCTGTAACCCTTAAGGGAGTATAGGCAGCCGACCATTCTGATTAGTGTTTTTTTAGCAAGTTGGTTTTCTTATGGGAGGGGTAGGAGACTTTTTGCCCACCAAACCAAAATGGGTCGGGAGGAATTTCAACTTAAAAGTTAGCAGATTAGTAATCAAACAAAGCCTCTTGATGATTAACTGGGCTTCATTGATTTTAGATTTTATTTCTCTACTGAATAACACATGAAATAGACTTAACAATAAAAAAAGTACTGAGAAAATTAATTTTTCTTATGAATTATTATTCTGTTGATATTCATAATTAACTTATAAAGACAACTGGTATAGAAAATAAACACGAAGAAATAATATTCCCTTAGGAATCAATGGAAAATTTTCAATGTCAAGTCAGATTTCTAAACTCTTAATATGAATGATGCAATATCTAGTGAAAGGCGAACCAATAATAAAAACAATGGAGAATAAAGTGAAAAATTATCATTTACATTGTGAGTTTGCTTGTTTTTCCTTTTTTATTTTTTCGTTTTCACGGGCTACCAAAAATACACAAACTTGCTGCTCCTATCAGACCAACATTATCAATGATTAGTTTTAAATTTCACAAGCTCACCCAATAGCCAGCCAGTAAGTTAGGATCTAGTAGTTCAAGGTTAATTGTCCACAGTTTAAAAGTGTTGTACTCGTCTCTATGTATCCTTAAAACTATTACGGATTCACCTTAGTCGAGTTACAAAACAAAACAAGGAACCAGAGTCTAGGTAGGCTACCGTGATCCGATTGTCTCAACTGTACCAGCAAGAAGTCTTGATATAGTGTAGAAACTATATTCTACAAACGCCCAGCCAGCACACAATCAATCCAAGCACTCAAATTGCGTTTATTTAAACTCCATAGAAACGTACTTGGGACAGTCACAAAAATAGCACACTAAAATAACACATCAACCAATCACAGACAAGGATTTTCCTGGTGGGAAATGTGATCTCAAGGTCAACTGATCGATCCATGAAATAAATCCAAAATAAAGATATTTAACAAGAGAGTTCTGGGGATTTAACAACCGTAATATGTTTAAAATGATTCTAACTATTTTTATTAGGTATTTCAAAAAAAAATTCAAATCAACAACTCGATTACATTATGTACTGTGATCATGTATATATAATTTAGGCACTTAGCTTTGAACACTTATTTTATCGTTTAAAGGTTAGGGGCTTAGGCTAGTTTTATTTAATGCAACTATACGTTTACAGTATGAAATCAGTAGTTGAAAGCTCAGTGTTTAAATGCAAGTCAGAATTTTATGTTTTACAAAACCATAATTGGATGTCGTTAGTCGGAAAACCATCAAATCAAAAGACAATAACTTTGTTATCTTAAGTCAGTCAGTTACTTAACACGTAAAACTTTGTACAAACATACATTAGTTCATGTTGACATACCATATTAGCACACAGATGCAATTGTCAGTTCAAATCCCATAATGGTAGAGATAGTAGAAGTATTACTGGTGATGGAGAAGATTAGGGTTCGAAGAAATTATTCAAGCAGTGTAAACTAGTGAAATAAATTTAAAAAGAGAAAGATAGAGGTGATTAGAAATTCAGACGATTAGAATGTGGGAGAACACAAAGAGTGGATGCACCTGCCCCTTTAGGTTATCTTCTATGGATCGTTTAAACTAACAGTGATATTAACCATTTGCTTTAAATATAAATGAAAAATATCAAGTCGATTATCAGTAGAAAATGAAATTGCAAGCCTAAATATTGTACGAATTCGAGATTACCGGTATAAATCTAACATAGGTAACATATGGATAATTTGCAGCTAACCACTGACAGGTTACACTAGTTAGGATTCTTGGGAATTTTTCTGTCATTTGAGTTGAATAGAATGATTGGAGAAAAATTATATATATATATATATATATATATATATATATATATATATATATAAGAGCAACAATGAGAGTTCAGCAATACGAATTTATTCAATTTAACTGCTCACATGATTAAGTAAAGTTGATAACATATACATTAATCTCAATGAAATGTGGTAACATAACGTTGCATTACCAAACTTTTTGTGACTATGGTAACTTAAAACAATTAAGATTTCCAATGTTGTCGTTTATTTATAATCTGGAGAAATATAACAGGTGAATAAGTCAGGAATTTCATTGAACCGAAAAACTGACAACATGTACAATATGTCCTGGAATGAGTACAAAAACCTATATAATAATTAGAAAACGTATTTTAAAGCAAATTCATAAAGTGCAATTTTAAAAAATATTGGTTGAATGTTCGAAAAAAACAAATGATCGCAATGCCAGTTATGAACTGAACTACAATTTACTTAATTTTGTGACATTTAATTGTTTGCTAATCATTATAGAACATTGAAATAAGGGAAAGGTCATGATTTTGAAGTAGAATAAAACTAAAAAAAAAGATGTAGATGGGCATCTCTATTCGGATATCACATGACACGTTTCCTGTCTTATTGTTAAGGAGAAAAGAACAAAAATACTATTGGCAACCACAGGGAAAATGAATTTAAAATATTTACAAAAAATCATGATTATATGACGTTTGGGTAAGTAATAAAAATAAATTGTTCAGCTTCATGCGATCAATGCCCTAATTATGTATTCATTACGATTAATTATTTTTACTTTGTTGCTGACATATACTTAGAATATAGAATTACGTGAGTTGTTGATAATGAACTGGTCTTTCTGGTTTTCCAGTTGGTAGGATTGGAAACGAGTGAACTTACTATGAGTGGGTCAATCTATCATCACAGACAGACAGACAGACATAACACAGAACTTCGTACGTATGTACATCAGTTCAGCTTGCCATACCACATTAGCACAGAGACGCAACTGTCAGTTCAAATCACATAGTGGTAGAGATAGTAGAAGTTTTAGCAACAATGGCGAAAGATTAGGGTTCGAGGATATTATTCAAGAATGGGAATCTAGTGAAATAAACCTAAAAAGAAAAAGATAAAGGTGATGAGGAATTCAGAAGGTTAGAATTTCAGAGAATAGAGAGTGGATGCACCTGCGCCATCGCAAACGATTCTGAGCCATGTCATTCAAGGTCTCTAACCATTGGTGACTTTCGTATCGCTGACTCCAACCAGATAGCCTACATCTACCAACATGACTCAGTCCACTTGTCAGTGATTTCATGGATTTGTGTTATGTTTTAGTTTGGCCGCCCCTAGCTTTCTTCCAACCTATTCCTACACCACAAAACAAAGCTCGTTGAGGCAGTCAGTGGTTCGGCATACGTAACACATGTCCCAACCACCTCAACTGATGAAGTTTCAATACTTCATCGATCAACATAAAAATATCCTATTCAAGTTCACCCTTAAACTCATCAAAATACCATGAAATACATTTTAAATTATATTATCACCAAGTAGTATGCATTCAACATACAGTTATGATTGGGGAAAAAAATACTCTGACATCAAGAAAAAATACTTGCGAATTAATCTAAATCAGTCATTATTATTACTATTATTATTATTATTATTATTATTATTATTATTATTATTAATATTATACTCAATTAAACGTGCACAATAAACTGACCTATATTTCTGCATTTTCCTACTTTTTGACAAGCGAGAATAAATTCAGCGAAACTACTTAGTATACAAAAGAATTACATATTCATTCCCTTAGTCTATTTATTGTAATTTAATCATTTCACTACTAGATTTAAAAAGAAAAATAAATCATATGATCAATTCTATATGTATTATATAGATAGATAGATAGATAGATAGATAGATAGATATATTACATATATTCTAACCTGAAATTAGTATTCTGTTTTTTTTGCCATAGGACATTGAAAAATGTATGCGTATTATAGATAAACAATGTTGGTTGGTTGATTGGTTGGTGGTAATGATCAATAGAATTTTATGATATTTATTATCATCAAAAATAATCATAGATTGTAGAAAAATTACTTTCAGAGGAAATACATATTGATGTGTAAAATAACAAGTTGAACATTTCAAGAAACAGACACAAAAATGTCGATGAAAAGTTAGAGAGAGAGAGAGACTTAACTAACTAACTAACTAACTAACTAACTAACTAACTGACCAACTAACTAAGCCATACATCGGTTAACATAATTTCAAGATAGATAGATAGATAGATAGATAGAGACAGAGAGAGATGAAATGTAATGTGTACTTTTTAAATGAAATCATAGAAAGGTTTAATAGTAGGAAAATACTAGTAACAGTTACAATAATAATAATAATAATCATAACAAGACTGACTATAATACAACATATTACTTATAGTCAAAATAAAATATTTAAAAGAAATCATAATCATAATAATAAAATGTGATGCATTATTATTACTGATAGAAATGACAATAATCTAGAAAATTTATTTATTTTAACTAGAAAGAAATTTGTTTTACAATAAATAAAAAGACTAAAAGAAAGAGAATGACACCCTAACACTAGAAAATGAATGAGGAATGCAGGCAATAAAGTATTCTGTATTTTTTTTGAAAAACACACATCTTCATGATTATTATTATTATTATTATTATTATTATTATTATTATTATTATTATGGTGATAAACTAGTCAGAGAAACAAATCAAATAACAGCCAAAAGAAATATGAACACAAGTCGAATTACATTTTGTTCAAAAGTACATTTTATTATTTTATGAAATACAATGACGCTGTTTCAACACATATTATAAACTAGTATAATTTCGATGAATTAAGTCTAAATAGTTATGATTAGCTAACAGAGTTACACTAGAAAATGACCACCTTCTGGCATTTTTCTAAATCAGTTCTCAAAAGGCTGTTAAACGTGTTTTGTGTGCATGACTGTGTTTAGTATGTAAAAAATCCTATTATAACCGGATATATTTATTTACAAATCAAAGCATTATTTATAAGGTTTAGCGGTTTCATTGCAAAACAAAAAAATATGTATCAACACAAAGATCCATCGAATATTTATTTATACCTTGAAGTAGAGAGATCTTATCAGTATCTCAGACTTTCGTAAAACGAATATCAACTAAATCAGTCACAACAACACAATCACTCATGTAACTATTCACATACACGTACGTATACATGTATATGACAATAGACTCCTAAAAATCGACAGAAATGTTGATTTCCAATTCACTTTATTAAACCTTAGTATTGTGTTAGTTGTATGGAGCGGAAACTTGGAGAACTACGATAGTCATCATCCACAAGATACAGTTGTCTACGCAAAATACTTCGGATTCGTTGGCTAGACACTTTCAGCAACAGCATACTGTGAGAGAGAACAAACAAGATTCCAGTGGAGGAGGAAATCAGGAAGAAGCGGTGGAAGTGGATAGGACACACACTGCGAAAAGCGCCCAACTGCGTCACAAGAAAAGCTCTCACATGGAACCCTCAAGGCAAAAGGAGAAGAGGAAGGCCAAGAAACACATTACCCCAAGAAATAGAGAAAGATATGAGAAGATTGAACAAACATTGGACAGAACTGGAAAGGGAAGCCCAGGACAGAGTCGGTTGGAAAAAACTGGTCGGTGGCCTATGCTCCATCGGGGGTAACAGGCGAAAGCAAGCTAGTAATTGTGTTAGTTATGAAATAATAAGATGATATGACTCGCATATTTCAGGTGGAAAATTTATTCCTTAAAACAACAACCACGTTGTTGCTTAGAGTCTTTTACGACTGACAAGTGTACAGCATCGTTATATACAAAGAATTAACGGCATAAGTTATATTAAGAAATGAGAAAAAATCCATTGACCTCTGATACACTTGTCACACTATTTCGATTGATTTATTTACTTCCCTGATCGAAATTTCATCTTTATCATTGAAAATAGTCAAATGTCGATTATTCGGACGGAAAAGCAAAACTTTTCGACATGTTATCTACAGAATGTGCACGTAAAAATACCTAGAACTTCAAAACACCTAACTCCCTATCCTGTAAATTTAACAAAGTCATAACATCATGTGGTATTTTTCAACTACTATGCATTTTACGCTATTAACCTTCCATACTAATTCATTCGATTATACATAAACAAAAAACTATATGATTATAAACTTTATCTCCTAACCTTGTTCAATTGAGCTTTTTCCAGTAGCACTTTCAGAATGTAAATGAAATCCACATTGTTGAGCATAATGAATAGCATATCTAAAGTAAAGAATAAAAAAGAACATGGAATAAATTCTGCTAAATAATTCATGTTCATACAAAACATACAAAATAATACAACCGAATTTAGATCAATGAAAAAAAGTGCTTACTTCTTACTTACTTTGAAGTTTAGAGACTATATCATATGAAAATTGGTTTAAGTCTGATAGAATTTCCTTATTTCGCTCTAAGAATCGATTACAATTTGGATAAAACTATGTGAAAATCTTCCACTCTCACTTGGTTATATAATATGTAGACTTTTGGTTTGACTAAAGTAAAATAGCTTTGGTTGATTAACCCACATTACAACTGATTTAGAATGTTATAATTAATTGGAAAACATATAAATACGGTATTTAAAAGGTTAAAAAACACCTTATAATTGTAAAAATTTAAAAAAAAAGATTATGATCTGTCTAAAACTACTTAAACTTTTAATAAGTAGCATGACAACAATATGAATAAAAATACAGAGAAACTCATACTGCTTAAGAAAGACTACAAGTTTCATCAGTACATTCAAAGCTGTTTAGAGCCACAAATAAAATTTTAAAAAATATGCATTTTGAATCTATCGATCAGTAACAAACCAGGTTGTGCTTATTACTGCAAGTTCTAAATTGACAATAAATATTAAAAAATTTCAATCAACTCACTGAGCAACTACATCTATCACCTTAGATAATTCTTCTCTTCCATTTTTTAAAGCAGATTTTCTAATAGGTACATTGTAAAATAAATTCTCTGCAACAATAGTAGTTCCTGGATTACCGGCACAAGGTACCGGTTTCGTAACAGCAACTCCAGCATGATATTTAACTTTATAAGCACAGCTTTGATTTGCTGTACGTGTTGTCACAGTCACCAAAGCAACATGACTAAGACTAGAGAGAGCTTCACCACGAAAACCAAATGTAGAAATTTTACTTAAATCTGAAAATTCCTACAAGAAAAGTAATAAAAAAATTATATGATTAAGATATTTAATAAAAAATCTCAATAAAACTGAAGGAGAAAAAATTTTTATGAAAGAGGCCATCATCAAAGTGAGATTTTTTTTTCCAAATCACTTGCTTTCAAACTAACTGGTCAAAATTTATGTCTTGAACAAGATTCAATATCTTATCACGTCAGTCAGTCAAATGCAACGTAGAACTTCGTAATTATGTACGTACATCAGTTCATGTTGCCATACCACATCAGCACAGAGATGTAATTGTCAATTCAAATCCTATAGTAGTAGAGGTAGTAAAGGTATTAGAAATAATCGGAGAGGTTAAGATTAGAAGATATTATTCAAGAAGGATGATTCAGTGAGATAAGTTTAGAAAGACAAAACTAGAGGTGTTAAAGAATCAAGAAGATTAGGATTTGAGAGACTTACTTACTTACTTACTTACGCCTGTTACCCACAATGGAGCATAGGCCGCTCACCAGTTTTCTCCAACCAACTCTGTCTTGGGCTTCCCTCTCCAGTTCTGTCCAATGTTTGTTCATTCCTCTCATATCTTTCTCTATTTCTCGGCGTAGTGTGTTTCTTGGCCTTCCTCTTTTCCTTTTGCCTTGAGGGTTCCATGTGAGGGCTTGTCTTGTGACACAGTTAGGTGCTTTTCGTAGTGTGTGTCCTATCCACTTCGACCGCTTCTTCCTGATTTCCTCTTCCACTGGAATCTGACTTGTTCTCTCCCACAGTTCGTTGTTGCTGATGGTGTCTGGCCAACGAATACGAAGTATTTTGCGTAGACAACTGTTAATAAATACTTGTATCTTGTGGATGATGCCTTTCGTAGTTCTCCATGTTTCCGCTCCATACAGTAGAACTGTCTTGACATTTGTATTGAAAATCCTGATTTTGGTTTTGTTTGAAAGTTGTTTGGAGTTCCAGATATTTTTCAACTGTACAAATGCAGCCCTCGCTTTGCCAATCCGTGCCCTCACATCTGCATCCGATCCACCTTTCTCGTCGATGATGCTGCCCAGATATGTAAAGTTGTTAACGTCCTCGAAAGCATCTCCATCAAGAGTGATTTGGTTGGTGCATGTTGTGTTGCATCGGAGAATTTTGCTTTTTCCTTTATGTATGTTGATACCTACTGCTGCAGAGGCTGCTGCTACACTGGTCGTCTTCTCTTGCATTTGTTGTTGAGTGTGCGATAGAAGAGCCAGGTCATCTGCGAAGTCCAGATCGTCCAGCTACGTCCTAACTATCCAGTTGATACCATGCTTCCCTCCAGATGTTGACGTCTTCATAAATGCACCGGCACTATTGCAAACGGTTTCGAGCCATGCCACGAAAGATTATCGAAGCATAAATCAATAATAATGACAAATTACCACTGTTTACCAGTTGATATAAGCAACTAATTCATTTTCAACTATTAGTATAAACTCTATTGTTATCATAGCAAGAATAGCAGTGAGAATAACAGAAAAAAACATGGTACAGAGTGAAGAATTATAGATGAACTAATTTCAGTTCATGTGATATCAGTTCTTTTTTATTATCGATTTATCAGAATCCCACTCGTTGATATGGAATGAAAGAGATATCGATTAAGTTACAATGATGATAATAATAAGAAGACTAGAAATATTAATGAAAATAGTGTACATTTAAAAAATACAATTAAGATTGATTTCATTATTCACAAAAGTTTATTTATTTTATTGTGTACAGAAAAAAATCATCTCAAAGAAAACTACACTGCCATTACTAGTGAGTTTTATTTCTAGCTGACGTTATAATACTATCTATCACAAAGCATTGAATTGTATGATACCAGTAAGTCAGTCGGCTACAAGGTAAGACGTTGTACGTACATACATCAGTTTAGGTTGCCATATCACAACATTAATACAGAGACGCAATTGTCAATTCGAACCACATAAGTGGCAAAGTTAGTAGAATAGAGGTAATGGAGAAGATTAAAGTTAGAAGAGATTATTCAAGAAGCATAATTCAGTGAAATAAATTCGAGAAAAGGTAGACGTGATGAGGAATTCGGAAGATTAGAATTTCAGAGAACACAAAGAGTGAGTGCATCTGCGCCATTGCAAACGATTTTGAGTCATATCGTTCAAGGTCTCTAACCATCGGTTGCTGTCATCTCGCGGACCCCAACCAGGTAGTCTACACTTACCAATATGAATCGGTTGAGTTTTCAGTAACTTCATGAAATTGTATCATGTTTTGGTTTGGTCGCCCCTAGCTTCTTTTCATCGTCAAAAACGATATGACACGTTAATACTATGATTCTTCATTCTATATAATCTTTAATTGAATGCGTATCAGTTTTTTGTAAACTTGGGTATTAGAATATATGAAAAAGTCTTGAAGCCACCTTTCGAATAAGTCTCCAACCATCTCAAATAAACCATGCTGAATCCCAGTGTGGTGGGTTATAAGTAGTATGCAACCGAGTGTCACCCACAGACTACTACTACTACTGGAAGGCAGAGTGCTGGATCGAAACACATAACGCGATCAAAATCTTTTAACGACAAGAAGATATGTGAAAGAAGACATTTAATAATCTGCTTGTTGTTTTATGAATAAAAAAGTCTGAAGATTATTATTTTATTAGTAAACTGTTTCTGTTAAAGATACTCTACCTATATTTTATCTGGTCTTGAAGTTTTCCATTCATTGCACCAGCATTATTGAATGCAAAAAAATTTTTGACAGAATATAAATTAACAAAATATCCTAAAAGTTAGATTTAATTATCTCACAAATCAGTATTGTACATTTGATCCCTGTCGATAGACTCGCGTCATGGCGACGCTCGGATTCCCAAAGCTATTCAAGTTTTATTATACAAAGATCAACAGTATCTGTTATATAATCATCAGAACTAATCGAATATCTATCTTTAAGTGGTTACAATAAACGATAAGTGTTTGTTTGTTTGTTTGTCATCATTATCTATGAAATCACAATACAACTAACTATATGGAAATGAAATAATTGTGGAAGAAAATAACTAGGAAAACATAAGATATAATAATAATAATAATAGCCACCAACTTTTAATTTGCTCGTAGTAAAGCGTTCACATAGAATTGGTAAATCTGCTTGATGTATACCACAGCCATTGTCTTGAACTTGGATAAGTTTTAAACCACCATCTTTAACTGTAATCTGTTGTTTAAGAAAAGCAGAAGGAAAAAAAGTACTAGGATGCAAAAAAAAAAAGATATTTTAAACGATTATACAAACAACAAGTACTCAGATAAGATGCATATATATTCTAAGCGTGAGAACCAATGATATTGCCCGGTCGCCCCACACCAAAGTAGAACAGGGTTAGAGTCTGAGACTTAACAGTCGAAATATGCAAGTTTACTATCTGATTTGATTAGTGTGCTTAAGCATTTTATAAATACTGAATATGATTAGTCAGTCAGTCAGTCAGTTGCAACGTAGAACTTCGTACGTATGTACATAAGTTCATGTTACCATACCACATTAGCACAGAGACGCAAATGTCAAATTAAATGCCATAGTGATAAAGATAGTAGAGGTATTAATGGTGATGAAGAAGAATAGGGTTTGAAGATATTATTCAAGAAGTATAATTCAGTGAGATAAGGTTAGAAAGACGAAGATAAATGTGTTGACGAATCGAGAAGATTAGGATTTGAGAGGACACAAAGAGTGGATGCACCTGAGCCATTGCAAACGATTTTGAGCCATGTCGTTCAAGGTCTCTAACCATTGGTGAATTTCGTCTCGCGGGCCCCAACCAGGTAGTCTACATCTACAACATGACTCAGTTCACTTGTGAGTGACTTCAAGAATTTCTGCCGTGTTTTGGTTTGGCCACCCCTAGCTTTCTTCCAACCTACTCCTACACCACAAAACATAGCTCGTCGAGGCAGTCGGTGGTTAGCCATACGTAACATATGTCCCAACCACCTCAACTGATGAAGTTTCACCACTTCATCGATTGATCTGCCATCCTTACCTAGAACTCGTTTCCTAACGACAGCATTGCTTACTCGGTTGTCCCACGATATACGAGCAACGCTTCTAAGACATCTATGATCGAATACTAGTAACCTACGAATATCGTCTACTCTTACCGGCCATGTTTCGCATCCATATAGGAGAACGGAGCGAACTGCTGCGCAGTACACCCGTCCTTTGGTTAGCGAACGGATATCTCGCCTACGCCATAAACGGCATAAATTGGCAAAAGCAAATCGAGCTTTCTATATCCGCGCTGAGATTTCGTCAGTCACCAGGCTGAATATGATTAAAGAAAATATAAATATGAAAGGAGGATAAAGGTAAGTATATTACCTAGTGAAATTAATTTTGCTTCACATTAAAGTCTGAGATATAAAAAGAAATATGCAAGAATGAAATTATGAATGAGAATGGTCCAAGTGAAGCTTAAAAGCAAGTGTCTCATCAGTAAGTAAGTAAAACAAGTGACAAAAGATGAGTGAACAAAACATATGATAACTACTTGATAAATACGACTGAATCATAAGTTGAACATATATAAGTAACCCACTGTATTTACCAATTCACATGTAACTGCGGAGAAAGTTACTTAGGGAGGACAGATCGCCGATTGGAAGACAGGATAGGGGAACATATTCCAAAATGGCTAATCAAATCCATGTTTCATCAACCTAGCCCATCATCTCAAAATCGATCAAGAAACCCAGCCTCGTCCATTGCAAAACATCTAATGATGAGTGGTCATCAAATTGACCTAAAATCAGCCTTTAGAGTTGTGACATGTAATCAAAACCCACACACACTGAAACTACTCGAAGCTATCTTGATTGGTCGGAAAAGTCCAACTTTATGTGTTCAAAAACAACTAACTGTATGTTGACCTTTGTTTACCATGGTTCTAGTGAGTGAATGTCATGCTAAATAAGAAATTTTGACCTTATCTTCAAAACTGTATTTACACAAATAACATGTTGCTTGTATGTGACTGACGAGAAAGCACGAAATGGTACTATCTCACAAAATATGTCTTCTTATTTCTCTATTCAAACCAATTAATAGATGAATGAAATTTAATGTAATAAGAAAATTAATAATAAAGCATTTGCCGACAATAGGATGACACAGTGAATTCACAAAAGGCTAGGTAACACTATATGCCGATATAATATTTTCGATCAACGAATCACCGTTTATTAGCACAAAAAAATGGAGTATAGTCACACAGTGTGAAATCAAGATAGAAAATTAAGATGTAACAAATATTTTATATATAATAATAATAGCTTAATATACTTAGGGGGTTTCCTATACTCGATCACTGGCTATTTATATCGTATTTTTACTGACCACAAGTCAAAAATAATCTCACTGCAGTAGCTAGTTTCTTATTATGATGGTAAATAAGTAATGAATTGATGCCATATTAAAAAAAAAACACAGAAAGCCATAGCGAACTTGGAAGCTGTATTATTCTACTTTAACTTTCCGTTAACTTTGTAGAACTTTCATAAAAGCCTTCATAAGACACATTGTTAGGCCATCCAAGAAGTCACTTGACTTATTATAGTCT